TCTCTTTGCTCTTCACATAGCAAACTGCATCTCAATATGCCATTACTGTGGAATCAGTTGCGACTTGTGACAACCTCATGTGCAGAGTAATAATGGTCTAGAGCGTATACTAAGGTGTGACTTATGTTCTGAAACCCATCCACGTGGATGGTAACTGCCAGGCTTTGAATGACGCGTGCATGTTGTACTGTCCTGTCACAGCTGACCCTACAGTGGCTTTTCCAGAGTTGGAGGCTACTGTGGGGAAGGACGATTCTCACATGGATGAGCTGGTGGATCCAAGCTGTGACCCTTTAAGCTGGAAGAGCAATTCTTTACCAATAAAACACCTCAGCTCTCCCGTTTTGGTTAGTAAGCCACGTTTAGCACCAAGAGATTTCCTCTGACGGATATACTGATGTGTCAGCAAAAGTGTCCTGTGAGTCAGGACTCATTTCTCGCTCCTGCACGTTCTCTGAGAGATGAGAGACGGGTTTATAGTACACGTTCAGCAAGCTGAAGGGAAGGAAGGGTGAGCTTTTGTGTGAAGAAGTGACATACAGATGTCACTACGAGGAAGGTCAACACGGAGCAGAGATCTGAGGCACAAATTGAGTGGGCAGCAGTGAAGACCCCCTTGTTTAGTAGTACACAGCCCTACAGATGAGAAGCATTTTCCTTCCCTCAACCCATAGATCCCTGAAAGGAGGGAGGTACTCACCCAGCAGGGGTTTGGGTTGCTGCGAGGTGGATTCGCAGCACAGAACATGGTCTCTGTTATGTTTCTATATGGCCAGTTGCTACACTCCCGGTTGGGCAGGACCTTGGCACTTGCACAGGTGAGCGGATTTGGTTCTGAGAATGCAAACCATTGAGAAGGAGAACTGTGATGGGAATTCAAACGAATTCCCATACTCTTCCCTTAGAACCAAGAGTTTGGGGTGCCTGGGGCTTGATCATCCCAAGTGTACCTCTTCTTGACATGTACGAATCCCAAGATGAGACACCACACAGGCTCCCCATTCGTGGGCCCCTGGTGGGCAGTCCTATGGTCTTCACTCTATGTGTGATCTTAACAGGCTCTTTAAGGTGAAGCAACATGATGTCGTGGCTGTAGTTAAGGGGCCAACACTCAAATGGGTGGCAGTATTTTGGATGTCGGATGGCACGGGCAACTTCCATCCACTGGGCATCCTTTTCAGCATGTACATGAATGTCATTGCAGCCCAGACAGACACTGTATGATGATGAGCTTGGGGAAGAGAGAAATGGAGGCCGTTAGCGGGAAGGAAATGATATAAGAAGGGATTTCAGTAAGGAATCCTGGGATGAGAGAGAGGAAATTAGCATAAAAGGGAATGAGAACGGAGTAAAGGTTGAGACAAAATGAAGGAGGGGAAAATCTGCAGAGCAGACAAGTGGAAAGGAGAAAAGCATGAACGAAGAGAACAGCCTCCCATATTTCAAGGACGGAGGAACATGCCCTTGGGATGTAGTTTTCTACTCTATTTCCCCCTCAAGAAAATGAACAGGCAGAGCAAAGAGAGCAGGAGGAAGATAGTTGGAAACAGACATGGAAAAAAAGAGGTATTGCAAACACTACATACAGAGGAACAAATGATGGTCAAATTGGAAAAGGGGCAGTGATAGTACAAGCCCACACCGTAGTGGGAAGGACATGAGTAGGAGACAAAGCACCAGAGAGTAAAAGCAGGGACCTGGATACTGGGAGTCAGGGAGAGGAGGAAGGCAGAGTCTTCACTGAGAAGTGACTGCGTGTTTCCCAGCAGTCAGTGATCTCACTCAGCCCGGCTTGGTTATCTCCTCCTGAATCCCAGCACCTTTTTTCTCTTCCTTGTTCCTCACCCACCTCATTCACAACTCACTCCCTCCGTTCCCAGTGTCTCCTTTAGAAAGATGGGCCAGGAGGATATGCCATGGACAAAAGGACATGAGACATTCTCCACTACTCTCCTCTTGGCGCTGGAGTACTTCTTCCTTCAGGGGTCCACCTAGACCCACGGTGATGTGTGTATGTTCAGTACGGCTGGACACAAGGTTTGGGGCACACAGAGAAGGACCACAGGGAGAGATGGGGGATATAGCAGAGACCAAGCGAATGGCAGAGAAATCCAGAGATCGAGAAACAAGGCACTCCACAGCTGTAGGAACTGAGAAGAGAAAGGGAGTTTGAGATCACAGCAGGATCACACAGAGGGAACACACAGACAGAGCGAGTGATTTACAGGCAGAAAGAGCAACAAGGCAAGAGACGGAACCGACGCAGACGGCCACGGAGAGAGCAGTTGTGGGTCATTAGTCCCAGCTCGAGATCTCTCCTGGAAACCTCCTCTTTCCTGTCTCCTTCCTCCCTGTGGATTATCCCTGGGAAATGGTCCTTCCTCATTCCTGCAGGAAGACAGGAGAACCCCTCCCTTCTTCATTTTCCAGCCACTATGTACCGCTTTCCACATTGTGCCCCTGTGAGCACCCACTGAGGGTGGATCAGGACACCTGAACACATTAGGTGATGAGAAGGAAACACAGCCGCCTGCCAGGGGTGTTCCAAAGGTGGACAGTCCCAGCCAAACACCATTCTTGGGTGGATGGGGGGTGCAGCACCTGTAACAAGAAAGGTAGGAATTAGTCTAGGGATAAAAGAAGCTGTGTGGTTCGGAGGGGCTTGGTGGTCAAGGGAGGAGGGTTGGCAGAGTGGTGGGATGGAAGAGTGGTGTCAAGAAGGACCTGGCTGGGGAGCTCTGGTGGACTAGTGGCAAGAAGATGCAGTGCAATCCCACAGGTATGTGGTTTGAATCCACCAGATGCTCTGCTGGAGAAGGAGGGGCAATCTCCTTCTGTACTAGTCAGATCTGAGTAGATGGTACACACATAAAAAAGAAATGAATTGAAGAAAAAAGATGAGCCTGGCAACACGCAGGTGTGAGGGATGACCATATGAGTGAGATCTTTATGGTAGACCTAAGAGCAAGAGGGGATGAGCAGGTTCTAAGAGACCTGGTGCAGGGAGAGGATACCTTGATCTAGATGGTGGTGGTGATTCTGTGGCAACGAACCAGAAACAACTCACAGAGGCTGTAAACCACATGGGAGGAGACTGCCCATTTTTCCCCTGAAGAGTAGCTATTGAATTCAAACCCTTGCCTTTGGGTTGGGAGGGCAACTCCAACCAGTGGACCACCCAAATTCCCTGAACATAAACGGAAACAAGTGGCAAACTCCAAATATCATCCTTCGGTGTTGCCAATGGTTTCTTCTTAACTGCTAAACCAATATTCCAAAGTACCCCTTGCATTCATCATAGCATGTGGAGAAACAGCCTGGAGAGCTGGTTTTGTTAAGATTATTGTTTGCCATCCAGTGTATCCGAACCACACTAGACCCTCCAGGTAGTTTCTCGAGGCTATAAATGACCTGATAGGTTTTCCATGTATTTGACCCTCTTGTCTTTGCATTGATAGAACAACATGTTAGCATGAGATCACCAGCACTTCCTGTTTAGAGTCAGGAAACCTTATGGCGCTGTTGTACTATAGGAAAAATAGAATTGTGATCAGTCAGAATGAACTAAAAGCAGTGAACAGTACTATCAAAAGAGGAATCTGAGATTACTCCTTGGGTAAAGTCAATTGGAGAAGAGTAGGAAGTCCCTGGGGATCGTGAATGAGAGGAGAGCCCTTAAGTTCCTGAGTGAGAATAAGAGTGTGGTGAATGTGATAGAATAGAAAGGCGTTGTTGTTCTGAGCCGTCGGGTCAAGTAAGACTCGTAGCAACCCTGCAAACAGCACATGTGAACCCTGTCCTGTCTTGTGCAAAGGAGAAGGAGGTAAGTTTTAGGGAGGTTTGGGTGAGATGCAGTGGATTTTAAGTGGAAGGTCACAAAGGGAGGTGGTGAGTGGGCAGCTAAGGAGTTATGGAGGATGGTGAGCGCAGCATGTGAAGTGGGCGTCCTTTCTCCTTCCTTCCCCCTCTCCCTTTTCTCACCTGTCCATCTGAGAGAGAAAGCAAGCCCAAAAACCAGGAGCCACATGGTGACAGTGTATCCAGCATCAGGCGAATGATGAAATGGGAGCTGTGCAGCCTGTCTGGAACGGGTTTTATAAGGTTTCCTCCCCCAGGGCGTCTCTTCAACACTGTTGTCAACCTGCTGCTGTCCAAGGCTCTGCCTGTGCTGATTGGCCCAAGTGAATACAGATGTTGGCACAGTGCAACCTCTCTGGGATTGTCACTGAGGCATGAGTGGACTTTAGACTTGGAGTATGCCCAGATGTGCCCTTCAGTTTCATCAACTGATGGATATGAAGCTCTACATGTTGTTGTTGTTATGTGCCATCGAGTCGCCTGCGACTCAAGCTCTACATACAAGTTTCCAATCTGTGCTCTGTGGTTCGAGTTTCTAATCTCTGGTCAGTCAGTCCTAAGCTGAGTGCATTCACCGAGTGACAGTGGGAAGCAATTTCATGGAGTGCATGTTGCTGGGAAGCAATATGATTTCGGGTTGTTTAGAATAATGAGGATTGAACTGCTCATGTGCTCAGCACATAACATGACTAGGTATGGAAAAAGGATACAACCCTGAAAATCACCTGTCCTAATTTTCATCCATACAGGTACTCTTGTTCTGTTCATTCAACAGCTTCTTGGTTTTGGTAGAGATTTCACAGAAGCACAATTGAGTGTCCTTGGATTTCCATTCTTCTAAAAATCGACCATGATTTCCTCTGATGTCAGGGACAGTGAGATAGGCTCAGGATAGAAAGAAGGACAGAGCTCGTGACTCATTTTGACTCACCAGACAACGAAACAGCAAATAACAACAAAGAACACAAATATCCCTTTCTACGAAGATGGCGCCAAAAGCTAAGAAGGAAGCCCCTGCCCCTCCCAAAACTGAAGCCAAAGAAAAGGTGTGAAAGGCCAAGAAGGCGTCCTGAATGGCGTCCACAGCCACAAAAAAAAAAAAAGAAGAAGAAGATCCGCACGTCACCCACTTCCGGCGGTCTAAGACGCTGAGACTCCGACGGCAGCCCAAAAACCCCCAGAAGAGCGCCCCCAGGAGAAACAAGTTTGACCACTACGCATCATCAAATTTCCCCTGACCACTGAGTCAGCCATGAAGAAGATAGAAGATAACAACACATTTGTGTTCATTGTGGATGTCAAGGCCAACAAGCACCAAATTAAACAAGCTGTAAAGAAGCTCTGTGACACTGATGTGGCCAAGGTCAACACTTTGATTAGGTTTGATAGAGAGAAGAAGGCCTGTGTTTGACTAGCTCCTGACTATGATGCTTTGGATGTTGCCAACAAAATTGGGATCATCTAAACTGAGTCCAGCGGGGTAATTCTAAATATAAATTTCTCTCACCATAAAAAAAGACAACACAAAGATCTTTGTATTATGAATAAAACACAAATGACCATATTCATGATATTTTCTACCTTCATCCAAACTCCATCTGACTGATAATCAGATAGGTGTTCTTTGTGCCATGGCATTTTCTGAACCCAGATGGAATATCTGATAATTCCACATTCAGGTACATTTCCATTAATTTCAAATTAGGATTCAGTAAGATTGTTATTTCCATGTAATTGAATTTCTGTGAACTTGCAAGGGCACAGTTTGTCCAGATTTTCTCCACACAACAGTTGGGAGATTTGGATCGTCAGAAAGGTGCTGCTTTTGGATAAACAGCACAAAGCCATATAGACTACGTTATTAGAGTGACCTTGTTGGGTGAATTTTTTGGAGATTGGTGGAATGGTTCGGTCTGGGTATTATGTTTGTTGGTTTGTTTGGTTAGTTTCTTCCCCCAGTATGGATACAACAAACCAGCTAGATCTCATTGTGATTGTTCAACTTTTATAATGTGAAATCATAAAATATACTGTCAGGTACTGAAAGCTGAACATACAAGATTGTAGGAGGAGTGTATCAAGTCACTAAATGAGCCCAAACAGTTGTAAACTGAAAAGCAAACTTAGCAAAGAAAATTCCAGGCCCATGAAAGCTCTTGGGTAACTACAGGTCATGAGCAGGTGACTAAGGTAAGTTAGACACAGTGTGGAAGAGATCATCCTATGGTCTCTACGAGACGGCATGGCTGGTAATTGGCAGAATCCAGAAGGCTGAGAGCTGAATCACACTCCCATGATACATCTTCAAGGATATGAACATGTACGGCTAAGCACAATCAATAAGAGTGCATCTAAATTCCAAAATCAATCTCCATAATAGTCTATGTGTTTCCTACTGCCAAAGGGGCCCTTTAGAGTAGTGAGAGAAGATCTTCACCCTGAAACCCACAGCGTCCCTTTTCAGCAGGAAGTAGCTAAGAGAATACGCCATCCCCTTTTCCTTATGAATCAGGGTGAAGTCTCTCTCAGGGAGGAGTGATAGGGAATGGCAAAGGATACACTGACAAAGAAGATTAATCAGAACTGGCTTTGACAAGCACTGTGGCATTTGGACAAGAACAAACTGGGAGGAGGGTAGAGAGAATAGTGCAACAATGAATGAGTGGAAGCCCAAAATCTCTGTAAATGTTTATGAAAATTAATAAAATATAATTATAGAAAAAAAAAGGACCTAGTTGATGATCATTAGCAAGATGGTGAAGAGAAAGCACATGATTCAAAGAGGAGCTGAATTTTGGGGATGTTGTGGAAAATCCCAAGGTTTCAATCTCTCCGGCTCCCACTGGGTCCGGTCTACCACATAGAAACTCAACTCACTTTGCAAACCTACCCTTCATTTGTTTCAGTCCTTCACTAGGCCCAGTTTACTAATCCTCACCAGATCCTATTTTTGGACGATACACTGTACGCCCATGCTCTAGGACAGACGTGTGAGTGCTCCTTAGCTTGGCAGATACTGTTTTTCAACCGACGTGGCCCCTGTGTCTCCTTGACCCTAAGGTCCCAAACAAGGCCATTGTTCAACCCTGAGGATCTGCCTACATATAGTCTCTCTACCTCATGTTACTCAAGAGAGACATTTAAACTTAAAGCCAAAATTAAAAGAAACAAAGAAAAATAAATTAAAATTGAAAACTCAGTTGATGATATCAAAGAAAACAAAGGCAATTTTCTTCATAAGATTGGTACTCTGAGAGACATCTAGTCAACCCACAAGAGAAGATACAAATTAAAAATATCAGAAATGACAGGGAGATGATCCCTACTGATCCTATGGACAGAATGAAATTCTATTAAAGGCATATTGTGAGCAATCCCAGACTTTAAAAATTAATCCTCTTAGTGAAAGCTACAATAATTAAGACATGGTAAAAGAGAACTCAGGTAAATCAATGTAACACAACAGAGAACCCAACAACAGACTAAGAAAAATGTAATCAAATGAACATTAACCAACAAAAAGGGCTATTCAATGGAGAATCATTCAACAAATGGTTTAAAAACAAATTGTATGTCCACATTTTGGAAGAGTGGGAAGATGGGATCCTGTGCCATTTCATCTTTCACAATTTTTTTTAAAAAAAAATCATAGATTTAAGTATAGGACACAAAAGTGGGTAAAATTTAGTTAAGATAACTATGTCAGGAGTCTGGACTTGATGTTGGTGGGAGTTTGAAGATAAATATTAAAAGCATGGTTCAAAAAAGGGAGGAAAAATGTCTTACTTTATTAAGATTGAAAAGGTAAGGTACAAACTGAAGGAAAACATGTACAAAACACATCCTTGGTACACAAATCTTAAAATTTCACAGGAGGAACACAAACACCCCATTAAAATGAACTGAAGACCTGAAGAAATACCTCAGCCAGAATATACACAGATGGCAAATAAACATGGAAAAACCCCTCAACATCAAATGTGTATTGGATGGAATTAGCTCTTTCAAATATTTATTTTCAATTTTTAGTCCTACTTTACCAGTACTTCCAATGTGGCCTTATTTCAGAACAGAATCTTGTATTATTGAACTCAGTCCCCAGAGTTCATATGAGGTCCTCTTCTAAACGTTTTGGCAAAGGTCATGGCCTATAACAGGCACACCTTAGTCTCCAGACTAATATCATTGCTCCTCAGTATCTTGTATAGGTGTCTGACAGCAGACTTTCCCCAATGCAATTCTCCTTTAACTTACAGGCTGCTGGTACCAAGTGGGTTGATTCGTAGGGCCAAGCAAACTCAAGCTGTCAACACTTTCAATCTCTTCACCATCTATCATGATGCTGCCGATTGACCCAGTAGTGAGAATTTTTGTTTTCTTGACGTTGAACTTCAATCCACATTGAAGTCTGCAATCCTTGACCTTCTGCAGCAAGCACTTTAGGTCCTCCTCAGTTTCAGCAAGCAGGGTTGTGTTATCTGCATAATACAGATTTCTGATGAGTCTACCTCCAGTGTCACACTTCTACTCATAGAGCCCATCCTCCCGGATAATCTGTTCTGCATATAGATTGAAAAGATATGGAGATAAGACGCATCCTTGACGCACACCCTTTCGAACTGTAGACCATGCAGTGTTTCCTAGCTCTGTTCTGACAACAGCCTCCTAGTCCAAATATGTTTCACATAAGGACAATTATTTTGGGATTCCCATTCTTCTCAGAGTCAGCCACAGTTTGCTGTGATCTCCAGAGTCAAATGCCTTTGCATAGTCAATGAAACAGAGATAGACATTCTTCGGATACTCTCTGCTTTCAGCCAAGATCCATCTGACATTAGCTATAATATCCCCAGTGGCCTCTTCTCAATCCAGCTTGTACTTCAGGCAGTTCGCTGTTGATGTGCTGTTCCAATCGCTTTTGGATGATCTTCAGCAGAATCTTGCTTGCATATGATAGCAATAATATTGATGATTCCACATTCTGTTGGATTACCTTTCTTTGGAATGGGAACAAATATAGATCTCTTCAAGTCAGTTTGCCAGGTGGTTGTCCTCCAGATTTCTTGGCACAATTTAGTGAGCACATCCAGGGCAGCATGTTTGTTGGAATATGCCAATCGGTATGCGATCAATTCATGGGGCTTTGTTTTTTGCTGATTCTTTCAGAGC